TTTGTTGTTTGACTTCTGAATTAGTGATTAACCATCTATTTGAATAAATTTAGATACAAAACTAAATAATCGCTTCCCTCCAAGGTTTTAATTAGTTTTAAATGCAGTGCAAGCATTTCCTAGAAGATGTTCCTTTCACGTCATCAATATGAGATGAGACTGGTAAAGTCGCTGAACGCTGGTAGTTCAGTCCGCGGTTCGAAACCCGCGAACGGCCTGGCTGCATGGGCGTTTTCGTGGTTGTCTCCACGTTTTACGTGTATACATCCAGTTTCATTTAGAAAGCCTTCCACGAAGGCATTCCTTCCTTTAAGCAGATAGCCCTCGAATGTTTTGCCATAATCAACTAACCAAACCAGTCTGGGATAGTGAGACAGTTGTTCAGCTATTAGTATTTTAATATATGTAAATTCAAACTATGGCAATTTTAGCTTACATAATTTAAAAAGAATTATAGGGTTATTCAGAATTTTTAGTTAATGTAAAGACTAACTCTAAAGGGATTATTAAAAAAAGACTTAATGTAGGGCTGATATTTAAAAACATTACTCCAGACAATCTAAATTAAGAATCTTTTCCGTTATAGGTCAACAAAAGCTAAACAATTTTCTTTAGAAAAATACAGGCGTCAACGAAGCCCACTGGCCAGAAAAAAATGCGTTGTTCATATCTCTTATAACAGTGTTCTTTTTTAAAGATCGTAAATAAAAAAAATGTGTAAATGAACTATTGTATTTCGTTCTTTATTCCTTAACAAAACTAACCTAAGAAACATATTGTTCACGTTTAAACAAATTTTACAACAATCGAAAAGATCTGATGAAACAAGTATGTTATCTCACCGGTAGTATAAAACTGGCGCATATTCTTTCAACAGAAAATTATCCTGCGCGTGTTGTCCTATAACGGGTTTGTAGGTTATTTTAATGCGGCAAAGAAGGCGAAGTCTATCGGCTTAAGGAAAGGCATGAAACCAAGAAAACCAATCTGCAGCCTGCCCATTCGCCTGGAATCGAGCCCGAATCAAACTCCCAGTATTCAGCGGTCATAACAACTCGGCATTCTATAACAGGAAAGTTCCCACGTTAATATTCAGTGATGGTCATCTGGCATAATTGAAAAAGAAACTGAGTAAATCCAAAATCCACTATGAAGTATAATTAACTCATTTGAATTTACACAAAGTTAAGTGAGAATTAATATTTAGTATGTGAAAAAACATCTTGACCAAATGTTCTTCATCTACAGAAAGGAATTCTGACGGTTAATATTGATTTATATTTACCATAACAAAAAAAAAATGCTCTTTTCGTCAGGCTTTAATCTTAACACATTCGTCACCATAGAGACCATCGTTTAATATATGCGTGTTTCTCCTGTAACATGGGCGATCTGAGTCGCTCAGTAGAAGTCTTGTCATCATTTTCTTCATATTTCCTGACCAAGAGTATTGTTTTTCATATTGTCATTGTTTTACAGAGAAAAACCTTAAAAGTAGGTAATGCTAAGAACAATTTTCTACTCCGAAACATTTGACACTAAGTTTAGTAAGTAAAAGTGCCTAAAATCTATTAAAATACTCACTGCGAAAATTTTGTAAATTTTTCTATGCTGAAAGCGATGTATTTTATTATTATTATCATTATTATTATTCGGGTTATCTGGGTGAGGCAGTGAACACCAGGGCTATCTACCTGAAGGGAGGTATGCCTTTGTGGAGAACTTTTAAAGGCAGGCTGGCTCATATTCACGTTATACATTGGAAAAGCTTCAAAAAGCACCTATGTATCCCGCCCCTTTCCTCTAGGTTCGAACCTAGAACGAATTCCACTATTCGAGGGTCTTGACCACTCAGCCACCGGTAGGACCACTTTCTATGTAGAAAGTATGACGTCGTATTTACGTTACACATGGAAAACCCATGCAGTCAACCCGTTCGTCTGTTACCAGTGTTCAGCGGTTTTAATCACTCGGCCAGTGGTAAGGCCTTATTTTGATTTCATTGACTGCGAGAATACTGCGATACTTCAAAAAAGAGATTCTGGACTATTTTATGAGTAATGCTAAATTACGTTAGCAGTGCATAATTGAGATATTTTAAATCAACAGCGTCACACTTTTTCTTGTTCTAACAGCTACAGATATAGTTTTATATGTTTTTTAAGAGTACGAAAATAAAAGTTTTCTAAAAATTCAGTCCCAGCCTAAATAATCTTTACCGGAAGAAGCTTATTCCACTCTTCTGAAACACTTGAGCATTTAAGGGCTAAAATATTTGAAATATTTGAGCCGTTGCAAATACAAAAATTGCTATTTATTTTCTGAAATACAAGTACTTTTCAGAATTTCAACCTCAGCTTATTCCCCAAAACGAAAATCTCTTTTGAGTATAGGAAACTAGTGAAATCTAATGAATAAGTTGAAGAATTTGTTCTCATTGAAAGCGAGCCATCGTATGTGTCTCCAAGCCTTCATGTTGAGGAGAGACTAATACTTGAAATTACCGACACTGAATGTTGACACAAAGCGTTTAAACAGAATTACGTCAACTCTCTAAACACATTTCTAATGAAAGATTCTCTTATGACCTGTCATCAGTGGCTGTAAATACGTAATTTTACCACTGATGTTGCTTACTGTCAATACTGCAGTCCCCGCATCTGTCTGCTTTCTAAATTGAATCCGGAAGCTGCGAATATAATGAATTTATATCACATAAAGTTCCCTGAGCTTTAAGTTAACCTGTTATCAAAAAATTAATAAGGAAATGGTGATTTCACAAGGGTAAAAAATGGTTGTCACTCTAATAAACAGAATATTCACAAATAAATGCCTAATAACAGTATTCAGTATCTACTCGATGTCGTTTTAAATACGATTCTGTTACTCTCAGGTGTTATGTTACAAGATTTCGCCGCTTTCAAATTTATGAACTTTGTTCGTAGCAAGCTGTAGCAAAAAATACAAAGTAAACAGAAAGCAGCTTCCCTTCATAATTATCGTATATTATTCCATAAAGTTTGACTCCAAATTCTCATGATTTTTTGGAGATGTGCAGAATGGCTAAACAAACGTACTTGTTCTAGTTAAGTGAAAGAAGCCTTTTAAAAATTGAAAGTCAATTAAAAGTTAAAAATTGTTTAAAAATTCATAATTTGTATTAAAACTAGTAATAAATTCTGAAGTTTTTTTTGCTCATAAAAATTTCTTCATAACTAATTTTAATCTTGATTTAATTGTAATTAATGAAAACAAATATTAACATGTCTAGTATATAATAAAAAAATTGTTTTCGAAAAGAACGCTTTATGATAAGTAAATTTTAATAGCTTGTTTGAGTAACATGTCTAGTATATAATAAAGCGTTCGAAAAGAACGCTTCATGATAAATGCATTTTAGTAGCCTGTTTGAATTAAACATCCAGAATAACATTAAGAACAATTAAATCATGACAGGCCCACATTATAAAAAATACACATATACGTATAAATGTTTTTCTATTTTTGTTAATGTTATCATGAAAACTCCCTTGTGTCTTTCATAGGATAGTTTACCACATCTGAATTTCTAAATGAGTTCACAAATTGATTTCCGAAAGGCTTTTATTATCAAAGGCGGACTTATGAAAAATTCTCGCATACCATTTTTATTTTAATTAAGCGAAAGAAAGCAAATTTTTTTATTTATTTTAAATGAAAATATACTCAACTAGTTTCGAGAGAAAGAAAAAAAGCGTTCTCACTTCTTCAACTGCAAAACGAAATAGCGACAAAATCAAGCTAGTAATACATACTCAGTAACTGGAGTTAGGTATTACATGCTATTAAGATTTTTATTTACAATTTCTCTAGATTAAGATCTGAATCATTTCATAAAAGGAGAATTTTATGAGTAAAAATAACTTCGAAAAAAATCTAGTTTACTTCTTCCCCCCCCCCATCTAAAAAAGTATGTTTTGAATAATTCTGGTGTAGGATGGAGACTTTATTCAAGGGTTGTGATAGTTTAAGGTTTGTTCTGGAGAGTTATATTAATTTATATATAATTTTTTGATTTACAAAATTAATATGAATGCGTTAGATATTAGAATTAAAGGCAAAGCATTGCCATTTTGTTAGTCTACATTCCTTCTATGGATAATCATGTTTCTCCGATATTTTTTAATTCGAGAACACAAACGTCCTTTGAAACGTTGCTATGGGAGAAATGTGTGTGCCATTATTGCTATCAAATTTGAACCTACGGTAGAATGACCGATGTGTTGCGTATTACATCGCAACAGCATGCAGGTGAAGAACACCTGAATTCACTACAATAGATATGAAAGATTATGTAGTTAACCATTGAAATAAAACTTATTCACATTTGTCAGTTATATAAATAAAGGATTTTAGATTTGAAATTATATAAATGAAAAATGAGTTCGAGATTTTGAATGCATATGAGGCAAAATCTTTTGTTCCATCTCTTAAGGCAAGGAAATTTAATTTCATTGACTGAACACTTGATTTTTGGACGTGTAGTCCTCGATAAAAAATATCCAAGTTTTTCTCAACACGCAATCATATGTTGACATCTGACAAAGTTTTACTTTTCTTCTTCCTTTTATTTCTGACCAAGTTAGAATTTTTTATTGCCTATTACACTTGTCTAAGATATCGAGTTGAGCTCCTCTAAATCTACCCATAATCGTTTAGAATGTCTACAACGGAAATCATCAATCAAAGTTAGTATCACTCAGAACAAAAAAGTTGTAATTCAAGGAGGAATGAACACAATAGAAGGCAGAACAAGTGAGACAGCTAGCTAACATCTAACCTTACTTCCTACTATCGAAAAAAAAAAAAAACTGATACGAGGAATATCGTTGAACTTTATAAAACCTAATTCTAGCTAGACCATTACCGAGAAATAAGAATGGATGAGAATAAACAAAAACAGATGCCGTGAAGAACATACATTAGAGGGCCTGATACTTATTCCCTTGCGATCAACAGGAGGAAGATGAAGTATTGTATTGTAATAAAATGTATACTCGATTAACCGGGCTAATGCCGGGAAAGCAGTTCAGAGATAATTGAAATACGTGGATAATCCAAACTATCAGTTTTCGGGCATATTGTACGTATTTATTTCTTAAAATATCAATAATTTTACTTTATGTTTGAAACGTATTTTATCACTGTATTCGAATTATCATTGTATTTGTATCGTTTAATAATATCACGAATTGTCGAACTTTATTGTCGATTCGCCATGTTCAAATCTTTCGATTAATGTAAGTTTTTGTCTTAATGTTAAAATCGCTTTCTTGGGTTAGTATTTGTAGTGTGTTCTTTAATCATTTTTCAGTTCTAAAATTTTAAGACAGTTTTTAAAAGAATGAGAGTAAATATGCACGAATAAAAAAAATCGCAGTGATTAATCGAAACGCTGCTTTTCACTATGCACATGCACTGTGAATGATCCGATATAATCATTGAAACTAAACCTTAAGATGCAATTCAGCGGCTTTTAGAATGACTTGAACTCGACTTGAGCGTGCGTAGATACGCACGGATAATCTGTACCCAGATAACTGAGAGTACACTGTCATTGTTCATATAATATCGTATCTAAAATTTGAATCTAAAACAATAATACAGTGTTCACTGAAAATAAGCTTTCCATTTGTTATCGTCTAAGAATGGAGTAGAAGTAAAATGTATATTATAATATAAGCGTTACTAAAATGCAAATTAAGGCAATTTTAGCACTTTTGTTTAACTTCTGCTTTTGAAACATGATAATCCAAATTGCTGTTTTTCTAAATAGTTATATCTATTTCTTTTCTCACTGATTGAGCTAGCTTACTGAAGAACGTTTTTGGGAATTTTCCTACGTATAACTGGAATATGAGTTTATTTCCCTTTGAAAATCTTTCGCGAAGCCATTCTTCCAAAGTACGATCAGCTTCGAATGCTTTGTCATGTTAAATTATCTACCTATCTCAGAACTCAGAAATATATACGATTTTGATTTTTGAAGATTGAATGTATTTATTATTTATATAGTTATATTAGTTAATAATTTAATATATTTTAACTTTTGTTTTCTAACTGTTTAGGCATTGTATCAGAATCATAATAATGACAATTAAATTATTATAAATAAGTCTCTTTATAGTTAGAGCTTGTAAGTTTCTAATAATATTGATTTTAAGCAAACTTTTGTCCTGGAAACCCAGATTGTGGCTACAAATATAATATCTGAGACAACATCATTATTCATATCGCAGATATACTATTTGTAGAGACAGACTTAGTGAAACATTAATAAATAATTTCACAAACAAATGGTAAATGTGTTATTTAACCAACTCAGTGTGTGGTTACCTACATTTTCAAAATTAGTTTAATTATTTCGTATCGAAAAGGATTTTCTGGTGTGCATTGCTTACTTTTTTTAAGTTTTCGCTATATTTCAATATCATATCGCATTAAAATATTACAAAATGTAAAATAATAATACTTCTTTGCATAACTGCAAAACACGTTGGTCTTTAATTATATGATTAAAAGTATGTTGCGTTGAGGGATGTGTAGAAATTATTGGTTAGAGGAATGAATCATCACTTATTATAATACTTTAATACTTAATCGGAAAACACACTTGCTGTTCTTTAGTTGTGAGATTTAAAATAAGCTGTGCAATGGAGTAAGCAAGAAATCATCACTGATAAGTTACTGAACAAGAACAAATGAATGGCCACGAAATAAAAATATATGACACACACTAGTCTAACGGTTAATTTTGCTGCTCACTATGGAAAAGATCATAAATATCTTTTACTCTGTATGATAGTAGATGTCTTCTTTCGAACAAAAATACCAGGCTATTTTTGCCCATTTTTTTTCCCTGCTCGAAATTCGCAAAACAAAATGTACATCGAAATTAGGGAAAACATGATACTGTTCCTTCCCAGAATTTTATCATTTATAATTTACAAAGTGCCTGAGTTGTTTTTGATGCTTTTCGCAAAAAGCAGACGAACTGCGTGGCGAAAATAATGGCCCACTTTTAGAAGTGCACATAGTTAGCTGTGCAAAAAGAGAAAGGCTATCAATACAGTACACTTTTTAATTCCGAAGCGGAATGAAAAGACGTTTGAATCCTTTAGAAGCCTATTCCATATGCAAAATGCTTTCGGTTGTTTAATTTTCGGAAAAAGATTTCCTACAAACGAAAGTATTTTCACAATGCTACAATTAAAGAATGCAACGAAATGTTCTCATCCTGATTAAGATTTTGGACTGGGTTTCCTTTTAACTTCATAATCGTCATTACAACAAAAACAAAAAACAAAACAAAAAAAAAAAAAAAAAAAAAAAAAAAAGCGAAAACTTCCAAAATTCGTAAATAATTGTAACATGGCATTATCAGTTTAAAATAGCTTAAGGAACTAAATGTGCTATGTAATGTGACAATTATGAAGATCATTATACAGGCTACGTTAGTTTCAATAAATGTTCAGGCTGTATTTTTAATCTTCTGAGACTTCTCTGCCTAACGGAATATAGTTTCAACTTGATCACAATAGATATCTACGTAAGTTGAGAAATAAGTATTATATATTTCTCTTGATTCTTAATATTAAACCAGCATCTTCTTAATATTGTTTTATATTGGAAAAATCTTGGATAATTACTTAAGATTTAATTTTTCTTATACTTGAAGTTAAAAATTTGACAATATTCCGAAGAGCACTATGATGGTAGGAAAACGTGACATACACAAACTCAACGGCTTCTTCCTTTGACGCCCACCAGCGGCCGAGCGGTTAAGTCGCTGAACACTGGTAGTTCGGTCCGAGGTTCGAATCCAGCAAAAGGGATGGCTGGATGGGCGTTTTCGTGGTTTTCCTCATACGTAACGGGTATAGTAGACAGTTTCCTTAGAAAGTCCTCCACGAAGGCATCCCTTTCCTTAGGAAGATAGCCCTCGAGGCTTTGTCGTAATCAAATAAACCAATCTTCTTTTGATATTTCTTCAGCGCAAACATATTTGCTTATACCTGAATGTATGATATTCTGCATAAAAAAATATAAATTTTTAATTTATTGCTCTGATACTAAAAGAAATTTCCTATTAAAAATTAGTTCCCCCCCCTTCTTTCAAACACTAGAAAAAAATTAAGGAAGTTCTAAGAAAAGATGGCGTAAAAACTGAGAAACAGTAATCTGAAGACTGAGAAGCATTTTGCAGCTGATTTATCATCAAAAGACATTCCAATATACGGTTAATTTGTCTTTAATACAGATGAATAATAATGCAATACATATACTTTAATACAGATCAGCCTGATTCAGTTGATTTACGTCTTGAAAGACATTATAGTTACAAACTTACAAAGCATGAAATATTTCAGAGAAACTATTCTTCACTGTTCTTTAGCAAAAGAGTGGAAGTTTTTAACAGTTGCATTTCATCGCCATACAAAATTGGTTATGTTGTTCACAGATCATGAGAAGGGCTTAATTTTTAGAATTCAAAGCGCAAATGCTCTTAAAGTTTCCTAGGAAGCGAGCAAAATTAAATAAAGACGCAATAACCAAAACGCTAAAGAATGAATAATATAAAGAAATATAAAGAAATGAAATATATAAATAAAAATAATACAAAATTAAATTAAATTGATGCTCACTAAATAAATGATAAAATATTATATTAAATTTCTCAGAAGTAAATAAATAAAATAAAATAAATGCATGCCGAAACTTCAAAGAAATTATGTAGCAGATAGAAGAATAAGTATAAGTATTGAGAACTGCATTTCAGTTTATTAAAAAATGCTGTAGTTGTAACATATCTCACTTGTCTTAACAGTAACATGAGAACAAACGCATGAAATTCATTGTGATAAGAGTGCAAGATTGCGCAATAACCTCTCGAGAGAACTTTGGGTTCGCCGCATATATAGAGTGCCCCCTTGCCGCACAGACATTCTACATTTACAAACATCTGTGCCTTCCGCGGGATTCGAACCTGGACCCTTCGGTACAAGTCAACGTAACTAACTCTTTCCGAACTGGGCAGCTCAGAGAAATGATACTATATTTCAGCATCTAAATTGTTCTTGCTTAGAAAGCAGCAATACATAGAAAAGATCTTGCATTTTTTATTATCTTTGTCAATTCCGAAATTATATTACGCAGTCCTCCACATTTTTTTTAATTTACGGTACTTATGTATTTTAAAATCTCTCAGGGCTTTGAGACATTTTTATAACAATTCTGTTTTTGTTACGTATAAGTAATTTATATTTAATAAGAATTTTTTAAGATATGACGTTTTAATAAACCTTATAGATTTTATTATAAATACTTTGACACCTTGAGAAATAAGATCATTACTCAGGATGGTACAGAATTTCTACTGCAGGAGTGAAAGGTTTGAAAAATTCTGCCATTCACTGTTAGGAAAATTGCGACATAAAAGCCTTGAGCGATGATTTGTTTATATCAAAGTAATGACGGATGCTGCGCCATCTGCCGCCGCTAACCGTTACAATATTTCGTTGACAGCAATGATTTTTGACTCAAGTTTCTCGTAGAAAATTATTTGTAAACGTAAATAATTTCATTCTTTCATGAAGGCTTAATTCCTCAAAATTAGAATTGGCGGAGCTCTATAGGAAGTCTGTCAGGAAAGTTAAGCAAATTAAATGAATAAAGTAATAAATAACAAATAATAAAATTAAATAAAATGCAGAGGAATAAATAAAAATTTCATAAATTAAATTAATGGCAAATAGTTAAACGATAAATTAAAATACCGGACCTTATTTTATTTCGGCCTTCGTCTGAAATTGTGATTTTATTCAAAGTCTGAGCAGTTCCGATGGGCTCCGGATTAATTTAAGCGCTACATGAAGAGCACATTAAATGAGTAAATTCTGTTCTGCTGGTAACGAATTAGTTACGAGAAAATGCGGGAATAAATCCTGCTCTTCGAAATTTCTGTCATTACAAAACATATTTACTCTTTAAAAAGCATCTTTATTCGGAACATTTTTGTGTCTGCACCTCACCAGCGGAGATGAAAGTCTTCGGAGGCATTCTAAATTACTCATAATTATTTAC